ATCTTACGGCTACAGGCACTGCGCAGGCGCAGTACCCATATGTGTGACTGCACAGATGGCCACTCGAAGAACATCAGTTACAGGTAAGCAACCTGCTTGTCTGTCATGCTGGTATAATTCCCTGCCATGCATATATTTGAGATATAGTGACATGGTATAAATGTATACTTCACCACATAACTGAAATCAGCACGGACAGGATAGGCCTCACCATTCTCCTATATCTGTATATTGCATTATTTTTTCCCATATAAGTGAATGAATGCAATTTATTCCTTTGGGGAAAAGTGAAGAACTACAAGTGAGATGACATGATCCGAGGGAGCTTCAGTGCTCCCTCTGCTGGCCAAGGACCGGCAGAGCAGCTCTGGTACTTGCAGGATTCTGTCCTCAGCCCACTGCAGCTCCCAGAGCAATCATGAGTCCACCTGGGGAGCCTGGGGAAAGAGCTGTATAAGAAGCAGCTCTTCCCCTCAGAAGCTGCCTTGGCAACAAGGTCTTCTCTTGTTAGTGAAGCCCTTCCTGGTTTGCTGGACTTGGAACTCTGCTCCTGCCTGCCCCTCTTCCATCTCTGACTGGTTTGCCTCCTTCGGCTCTTTGATCTTTGGCTTGTCCTGGACTATGGTACCTGTCTCTACGGACTTGCTTTGTGTATTGGCTCCCAGCTGGACTGTGCTTTGGACTTGTTTCATCCTGTCTGCCAGGGTCCCGGTGCCTTTACTCTGTCAGTCAACAGCCCTCACCCTGGATGCTGACATGAGGTCAGTGAGGCATTAAAGACAAAGTATGTCCATAATACCTGACACTTTGTGAGTGACAGGAATTTCACTGACAGAGATGCCAAAATGGTGTACAAATGCTGTGGTGCACACTGCACAACTGTACAATTAACCACAGTCTTCCATGGCTGTTCTTACAATATTCAAGTTCTCCAGACAACTTGCCTGTCAGTATAGCATGCCTTTTGCTTGTATTCAGTAAGAAGCAATCTTTAAAACCTTACATGATGAAAAAGAGGCACACAACTTTTACATTTACAAAAGCAAGAATACACCCTCTCTTTTTTTCTAAGAAAGCTATGTTGACTATGCTGAGCAGGTGTATATAACCCAGTTCTTACATATTTTATGCAAGTATACATTTGTTTGGGACAAACATATAATTAGCCTAGGTTCCAAGGAAAGGTGGAACTAGTTTGGTAATGTCTAAGGCTGTCTTTACTTTTATCAACCAGCACCACTGTCAAACTGGGATGAAATATTGATGCAAAAACAATGTTTGATATGGTCAGTGTGGAATGATGTAAAAAAAGGGCAAAAACTCTTTTAAGCTACTGCAAAAGCTACATATGCAAGCTCAAGCAGCTATTCTGATCTAGATTTAGAAGCCTGCTGCCAAAGAACTGTCCATTTAGTTCATGTGAAGTTTGGATCACTGGCTCCACTGCTTCATTGCCTCCTTAAGGTTCCTAGAAAGCAGCTGTAGCAAGAACACAAAAAGCCACAGTATACACCTTCCTAAAGATCCAGGAACTCTCCCAAGATCTATACTTAACAACTGTATGCCATTTAGATCTCTAGCCCACAGCATCTAAACTTCAAGAACGCCAGTGTCGCAATTCATTCCTACCAATAACAGTCACTCCACTCTTGTCTTTAGGGCATATATAAGATTGTTATTCATAACATTCTACCTTTTTGCAATTGCTCAAGGTTATAACATTCAGCATAATGTGCTTTATTCAGGTCTCCATTTTTCAATCCACTGTACCACATTTCTTTCACAGCACTATCCACTGAGAAATAAATCTCATGGAGTTCCTTAGGGTTTTGACCCATGTAACTGTGTCTAGAATTGCTGCCTTGACTTCTGCGACTATTATTTCCTTCCACCAACACACAGAATCCTCTTTTATTATTTCCCTATGAACATTTTTATTGGTTGCTGCCTTTCTCTAGTCCCTATATTCTCTCCCCTTTCCGCCCAAGGCAATCCCTGCTTTTCCTTTCTTCAGGTTCCTGATTCTTACTCTTATAGCCTACTCAGACCCTTCCTACAGCCACTGTTGCTTCTACCAACTTGCTATTGTACCTTCTAGGCAGTTTTTAGGTTAGCGGGATCTACTTTTGTTTTAACCAGAATCCAGAGAGCCACCAAACAGTCAGGTGCATAATGAATACACTTAAAATGTAAAAATTCTGAGCCCAAGAACTTGCTGTTAACAGACAATTATTCAGGCACAAATCCTTATGTCCTCACAACTCTTCAATATGAGGAGTCTCATCAGCTGAGATTCAACAGTATGTCAAATTGCTAATTCTAAATATGAAGCAGAACACATATGTAGGATAACAGATCAATCCTTCACTTTGCTTTAAATACAACAATAAATAGAGTATTCATTCTGAATGATCTCACTTGTATCCTTATCCTGATGTTTAAGTAACTTTCAAGAAATAAATTTATATCTAATATAGTAGAAATATTCCATTCAGTATTGATACATGAAAAGGTCATGGCAATATAACCTAAAACATTTAATGAAGGGGGAAAAAAAGAAATCCAAATCTGTTTTTCCTCCTTCTCAAATTTCTTTCTCAAATTGAGAGCCACACAAAATGGCATTTGTTTACTGAATAATATCATTTATTGTAAAGGCCTGTGACTGCATTTATCCTAACTGTATGATGTTTATTAGTAAGATGGTTCATATACAATCTTAGCATTTCATGTAGTACAGTTGGACTTTTTAACATCAACAACCATCATTTTAAATGAAAAGCAAGACTTTACTTGCAATGTAATGATCTGTCGTATATACTTTGCAAAAATGTGGTACAATAGTTTTTACAATTGTAGATATAGCTATATTCAGGGAAGATAAAATTTAGCACAGTTTCCAGCAGAAGTTGAACTCAAGAACAAGGGCTAGTCCTCCAACGCCAATATGGGAGCTCAAAGAAAGGAAAAAAAAAGATCCAGGAACCCTGTTTCCAGTGGGGAAAATGAATGGAAGGTATTTAAATCATTGATGTAGTATTTCTCTTTCTGAAAAATTGGCAGTGCTCTAAATACCTCCATGACCATCTCCCAAGAAAGTAATAAACTGGCAAATTGTACTTTTCTGGGTCAAACTATGCTTTATATTAGTTACATATTTAAATGAGCACACTTGGCTTAGCTCAGGGAAAAATCTCCAATCTGTAAACTGGATTAGGGCTCCACGGCAATTTTCTGCTAGACAGCTCCCCCTACATGGCTTCTATTTGTCCCTGGAATGACAATAAACAGCTCAAGGGGAACAAAATGAACAAATAAAGCCAGGTAGGCAATAATTTTCAAGAGAAATTCACAGCATGATACCAATCTGGGTCCGGTGCCTGTTAGACAGGAGCCCAGTGCTTTCTCTCCCCGCCGTCGCCTGCCGCATCCCTGAAGAAACAACCAGGTTGGGTCAAGCATGCGTATTTAATGATTTTTGCAACCAATATCACTTATAGTAGTACTCTACCTGAGTATTACTAGGGTAGAGTAGGATATAAATTGAATCAATAAGGTTCCAGATAGCTAACTTTCTGTACAGTTCCTGTGACATTTGCAGCTTGCCCCTGTGCATGTTCTTAAGAAGCAAGTGAAAGGCATTTATTCTGCTCTCCTGATCCCACACTTGCAGAAGTTTATTGGACCTTTACATGATGTCATCATCCCATGTTTTTCAGCAATTTTAGCTGGTTCTTTCTCCTTTTCTTTTCTTTTTTCTTTTCTTTTTGTGTGTGAAGAAAGTCTGTTATTAAAGTTCCAACCACAACATACTGGAACAAAAGCCTTGTGAGAAGTCACAAATCAACTATACTGTAGTATCCGCTTTTCTATATACTTGTAATAGAATATATAGAAAAACAGAAAAATAGAACCTCCTGGAAAAATGGAATAAAGGACTCCTTTTTTATCTCACAATGGTAATAGAAAAAGAAAAGGCAGGTTAAACACTTCATGTAGAGAAGCCCTAAATGAGCCAGGGACTGCAGCCCCTTTGTATATCATGATGATAAAGTAATCTCTGTAGTCATTGGCGTTCCTTAATTAGATTTTGTTCATGATCACCTGTTTTCTATTATGTTGTCTTCTATTATGCTGATGATTTCAATTTACATTTTTTCCTATCATTCTAGCTGAAATAAAGTTTAGATACACTGAAAGTTAAGGTATTTTATACTTATATAAGTTAGAGTGTAATAGCTGGTAGAGACTCTTTTGCTCTGGATGTTTGTAATAAATTTCATTTATATTTTTGAACTTTTCATACACATAACCAAGCAATTACCTTTTAAAGTGCTAAGTTATAAAATATGGGAGGGCAAGTTATTGGTGCGGGGGGGGGGGGGGGGCTGCAGTGCCTCCCCATGGAATGTTTCAAGGACTGCATCCTGCTGCCACTGAGGTTGCTGCTTCCACTGCCACACATAGTTCCAATATTCCAGTAACTGTGATGGGCAACAGCACGCCGATAGTGCATGCCTTGTTTCCTACCACAGTCACACCCCTGGCTGTACTTACCCATGTGCCTGTTTCTCTCATATTTTGCTGAGATATTTTGTAGTGGCATAAGGAGTGTAGGAATATGGGAGGGCTGCATAGACAGCAAACAAGGATCACATGTAGCCTGTGAGACACATGTTATGCATCAGAAACTATACATTCCATAGTATAATAAGTGTCAAACATGAACAGTGATGTCATCAGGGCAAGATTTCAAGACCGATGTCCAGGTCACCGCTTAGCAAAATGATCAGGAAAGCCCCCAACCATAATAGGACTAGATTACCCTATTTCAAAACACGTGAATACCCATACAAATACCTGAATGCTAAAATAATGTACTCTGCACTAAATGGAACATCACTCCCATAAGGCCATTAAGTCCAGAATCTAGAATTACCAGCTGCACCCCTGAAGACAAATATTGCTTTGCTCAAAAATGAGTTACAATATCATGTTACCTTCCAGTGATTAGGAAGAACAGAGTGAGAATGACTAGGAGAGTAAATCCACCAACAGCAGCTGTAGCAATGACCAGAATCTGTCCCTGTTCGGCTGCTATATCTGAAGCTGAAATGAAAACATACAAAAGTAAATGTCTGAGTAATGGTTTTATTTAGAGGACATTACATCAACACCCAAATACATCCATTCTTAGTAATGATATTTGCTATGACTTTATTCCTGTTTCACTATGTTCCCCTTACCTGGCCAGTCTTCCTCCCAGTGGCATAACTCCCTTTACCTGTCACTATGCTAACCCCCACGAACTCCTCACTTGGCTACATAGATGCCCTCTCGGCCATGGCCCCAGGTATAGGCCCACAAAAGCAGGGGGTGGTGAGGGACGACTGGAAAGGCACCTTCACCATTCTTAGGGGTTAGTCACAGCATGCAGCTTACTGGTGTGAACCAGATCCATAAAGAATGCCCTGTACTCTGGACCTCATAGTGTCCTACAGTGAAAGGCCCCCAATGCAAGCTGTATACATGCTCCATCCAAACTACAAAGCATATTCTTTTACCTATATTCTGATTTCAGTAAAACTAGCAGGAGAACTAGGCTTCATTTCAGAGTGAAATTTTGAAGACATAGGGCATATCTCCAGAAGAGAGAAAATGTACATTAGAAATTATACTGAGCTATCAAACAAATCAATCCACATACAAGCAGAAGACAACATTCCTTTTTATGAACATTATGTACTGTTCTTGTACAGCATGAAAAATATACTTGAACTTAATTTAAAGGATGCAAAGATTTTTCTTTAACTGGTTGAACATCTATCTGTGAGCTGGCACCCTATTACCAGCTCAATTTTGTCTGTTAGCTACATGCTTTAGTTATTGCAATTTGACATCTATCAGCAGCAGACTCTCCAGCAGCATGAAAGATAGGAAAGTGACAGAAAGACAGCTGGGCAGATAAAAAGGGCAGCTCTAAGACATATAGTTACAGACTAGAGTTCTAATGGTCAGGAATTAACTGTCAACAAAGATAGATGCAAAGGAGACTGAATATAACAAACAAAAGTTGTTTTCAAAAGTGTGCACCAAAGATCTGGAATAGGAATATTTAAGTTTCAGTTTAGATATGCAGTCCTGTTAAATGTATGGATAATCTTTATATTATTGGAAAATTATGAGAGAATAACACTAAAATGATATGAAAGCTGCAAATTTCAGTTAACATCTCATAACAATGCCCTACTTTTCATTGTTTTTTATATAAAGAAATTCTGCAACAGCAACAATAGAAACTATTTTTAGGCAGTTTTATTACTATGAAGCACTACATCTATTAAATGTAGCTGCAGTCAAGCTAAAGTTGTCTCTTTTGGCCCATCACAGTTGTTTTCGGCTGAATTTTTCAGGCAAAACTACTATTTTATTTTTGGGCAGTCCACAGAATACATGGTGCCCTGTGGCATGTGGGGGGAATATAGTGGGAGGAAATGTCACCTGGACTCCATGGATTTGTCCACCTTTTCCTACATGGTTGAAGGACATTCTGTAATTTTCTAATTTGGGGACTATCTAATTAGTGATGTCTACAACTCCTCTTGCCACCAGTAAAAACAAGGATATAAATGTGATTCTATTGGATAAAACCTGTCAATTTCTGCTAGCTTTACCTATTCTATAGAGGTGTTGGAATATAGAATATAGGTCATGCAGTTTTGATGCCATGAGAATGTAGGCCACTGCTCAGCCAGATTAGGTTGGAATGAGTGCTGGCACAGTACAGCAACTTGGAGAAAAACCAGACTGAACAAGTTAGCATAATTGAGGTTTTATAGGACTGTGGCCAGTGGATCTCAAGCACCACAACATGAGAGAGCTGCATATATTATTAAATGGCTCTGTATGACTTTCACTTGCAGATTTGCTGGAAAAAACTGGAATTGCTCTTGTTTGATGAGATATCTGGTAAAACAGAAGAAATTTAACATCATGCCACCTTAAGCTTTACATTATGCTTTCATAACCATCTTTCTTTTCATAAATCTGTTATATACTTTCCCAAACATGCTGTTGCTGTTTGCTGGGAGTTGAGCTCAGTTATGCTTTTTCTAATTTTTACTGCTATAAAAGTTGTAGAGATGTATAGAGGTCTTTTTCCAAGGCAATGAAATAATACAAACTTGATTTTCATATCTATATTTCAATACTGAATCTTATGACAACTAAATGAAAATTAAAGGTGAAGTCTTAAGCATAGCTACTGGGGACACAACTCTATTAAATTCAACAGAACTCCCAAATAAACATTGATATTGCCTTATACACAACAACCAGCATGCCACTAAGTTTATGATTATAACTTATTTAACTACGTCAGTGGGCTATACCCCCCCCCAATTCCACTTAAAATAGGATGTTACTAGTGAGTGATCATTTTTTATGACACTACTATGGTCTTTTGAGACTATCTTCTGAAAGCAATCTCAAGAACTATGTTATTAACAGGGGAAGGCTTAATGATAAGGAGAGAGCAAAGAATAAAGTGAGAGAACACTGTATGGGTAGTAAAGTTTTGCTAGATTCTAGAAAAGGCTACATTTCTACTGGCTATTGGATTATTCCTTCCTAAGCACATGAGAGAGCCACTTACATCCTAAATCTATGAAAGTGTGTCTGCCTTTTTGTCCTGAAGCTCTTTCCTGGCATGGGCAAAAGAGTTACACTAAGTGGAGAGGGAGACAAAGGTAAGAGACTGTTCAGAGAACCTATAGCCTTTCATCTGAAACAAAACCTCTGGAACCTCCAAGAATTTCATACAGTTTTAATTACTTATTATTACTATTGTGGCACCTTGAATTCCCACCTTCATTTCAGTCATACTTCATGCCTAAGAGCAAAAACAGATCACACTAAGGGAAAGGGGAAACATACCATGCTTAAACAGGCATAGAAGGAAGAAGGAAGGAAGGCTGGTTAGTAACAAATCAGCTCAGTTACTATCAGGGATCCCCACTTGAATCATCTATTTCCCCAGAAATTTACTGTATGCTGTGTTCTATTCTCTAGCTGAACTAGAACAATTTCTACAACAAATAGAGGGAGTGGAACAGGTGCAAGCTTGATATGGTTGAATCCTGTGTAGTTTTATTTTTATATGTATTGTTTGCCTACTGACTTAGTCCTACAAAATGTGTAATTGAATCAGCAAGAATTAAAACAAATTTCTCTCCCCCCCCCGTGTGTGTGTGTGTGTGTGTGAGAGAGAGAGAGAAAATAGCAAATCAAATGCATCAATAAAATGATACAAAGGGGGGGCACTATGTGTACATGCACATGTATGGGGTAAATATATACAATATATAAAGGGAGAATACAATAATTCCTTAGGGATAAAAATTGAATATCTACTCATTGTTTGAGTGAATAATAGTCAATATCTATTATAAAAATAAACATAGGCATATAAGATTGCTAAATGTGGCAAAATATGTTAAAAGTCCAAGGGCTCTTGTTCAAAAAAAGAATATTGATACAACTATACTTATTACATTATAGTTACATTACATTTATACCCCACTTTTCTTCTTGCGAGAAACCTAAGATAGCTTATACGGTTCTTTAGCTCTCCATGTTATCCTCACAACAACAAAGCCTTAAGCTATGACTGGCCTAAAATCACCCTTTGAGTTTCATGGCTGGATAAAGACTAGAAGTCAGATCTCCTGAGCCCCAGTCCAACACTCTAATCATTACAGTCCAGTGGCTTTAATGTGCATGTGCAACCAGTAATACAGCAGAGAGAAAAGACACAGATGAACTCAGATGACTGAAAGATACAGCAAACTGCATACTGCTTGTGTACAAAATTCAGAATTAAAAATTGGATGGTGAGGGGGAAACAGAACTCCTTAGACATGTCTTCCACTTTGGAAACAAGAGCAGGAAATTTGAAATTCCAAAATTTGTGAAGGAATTTAAATTAGGGAAATTTTGGAAGTGTCAGGAACCACAAAAATTGGTAGTAGAAACTAAAATAGAATTGGATCTACCAAGACATGGAAACAAGGAGGAAGAATAAGCCATAGGAAAAGAAAATGAACCAAATTCAACTAGGAAGGGAGATTAGGGTTTATCTGAACCTATCCTCCTGGTTAACTTCATTTATAGCCACATTTCCATACACATTCCCATAAATTGGTTGTCATACCAGAAGTTTAGTAAAGTCAGACTTAACTGAGGGTCATAGCCTATGAGCTTTGTAAGCCAGTAATTGATTAGAGGTGATTTCCAAAGATCTTTTATGCACTACTACATCTCTTGACCAGTCACATAATATTAAAAACTATACCCTCCTTGATTAATTTTGTATTTCTCCTGCAGGGTCAGACTGCAGTCCCCTTTCTGCTTCATGTACCACCATTAATAACCTTTCCCAAAATTTTTGTCTGCTCCTTGTAATTATGGATCTAATTTTATCCTAAATAATTGAAGTGGCACAAATTGCATTCTATCCAGCAAACTGTGGAAAGCGTATCACAGGAATCACCCACCAAAGGGCAAATAACCTTTAGAAAATAGTAAGGAGCCTTTGCTGGAGTATATTATTTTCTACTTTGTATTACTGCTTTCTTGTACAGATTATACTAACATTTACATTTTTGTACTGATTTTTAATCATAACATTTAAAATTAATATTTCTTTAAAAAGTAAGTGATAATAATCCCCCTCTCCTTTTTTTGCAGAATTATTATGAACTATTGGTTCCCATCAGTGTAGGGAAGAAAAAAAAAGATTTTATCTGCCAGAGTTGCAAGTGATGAACAGTGTACTCCTATGCATGCTTACTTTGAAGTAAGCTCTAATGAATTCAGTGGGACTTCCTTTTATGTAAATGTGTACAGGCAGCAATGCTACACACACGTGCACACACACAAATCAATCAAATTTACCTGGGAGTGAGCCCTATGAACATAATGACACCTGACTAATCATGCCTAGGATTATACTATATGTTTACAGATTACTGTGTGTTCTTTGTCTACAGATTATGTTCTTCATCTACTTGGAGATTCCAAAGAGAACTATTGAATATTGGATCACAAAT